AAATTATAAACTGAAGCATTTCTTAAATTTTTTGTTGAAAGTGGTTTTGAAACTGTGAGTGTACAAAAGACAATATAGTTCCGCTGTGTGGCCACTGAGCACGTGTTCCTGAGTAACAGCGCATGTCTCGCATCATGGGGTTATCTCTGGTATGACAAGGGCTGCTTGTACTTCATTACATGTTCTGTCCTGAAAAAAAAAATTTTTTTGGAGGGTTAATAGGAAATTACACTGTGAAGCGACGCAGAGCTGGAAGGAGCTACAGCTGTGCAGTGATTTTGCTTTTAGGTTGATTGTTTGTTTACATATTTCTCGTGCTCAGGCCATTCATTAGCAATATTCAAAGAAGTCAAATCCCTCATGATATTTTAAAAAGATATAATTCAGAATTCATATAATCAGAAAAGCTTAAAAAGAGTATCCTGGAAGACCATTAATGCTGGAAAAACTGGAGTTGACGTGATTTTGTTCTTGCAGTTTGTATCCTTCCTGATTCTCTCATCATTATTGTTTTGGTAATATTTGCATTAAATCAATTTTGTGTTACTATAGACAGGTCTTTCCCATGTACATAATACAGCAGTGTCCTTAGTTCAGCTCCAATTTAGAATAAATACTGAAAGGGTGTTTAGCTGTTACTTTATATACTCTTAGAGATTAAGAAATGCCGGAAATATTCCAAATACATTCAAGCTTGTTATGCTCTTGACCTTCTGATAACTGAAATGAATCATGATGTTAATTGCAGCAAATAGTGTGTATTTTTGGCGCTTCAGTTGAGGAGGAGGGAAATAATTAACAAAATCTGGTCTTACTATCCAGGAATTCCCACTCTTGATTTTCAACATATTCAGTTATGCCAGGAATGAACCAGCCATCAAAAAAAACCAAAAAAAAAAAAACCCAACCCAACAAAAAACCTCTTCTGTGCATATAGTACAAATTGTTTTGGTAGACAGCTCTTGTTCCAGAAGTTGTCTCTGATGAAGAGTTGAGCAATAATGTAGCTAGCTGCTTTGATAGTAATTTGATAAATAAAGACTTGCCTTTGCTTAGGGCTGTGTTCTGCTGTGTCTTTAAACAAGGTGTGTGATATGTATTATACTATCCTGTACCAAGTTATTCCAATCCAACTCTTTCTTCACCTTGTTTGGGGCTCTTTATTTTTCTTTTGCAGCATCTGCTGCTATTTTTATCGCATCTTCTGGCCATCTCGTGTTTGCTGTTCCTTTCAAGTATAACAGGCACATCGCTTCTTGGTGAACGTGCTGGTATACTGATCCTTGGTTTTTCTTCTTTGCCTTTAGAAAAGGCAAACTGGATGGAAAGAGAAGGTTCTTATCAATGTAGTGTTAGGGAGATGCATCTAAATTGTAAAACTAGGAAACTAATATGCGAAACCAGCATGGTTACCGGGATGGTGTTGGCAATACGTGCTGAAGTAGGTATCACCTGACTGACACAAACAGTACTGTGGCACTTCCAACGTCTGAATCCTCTCCATTCCTGAGCACTGCTGGTAATGAAAATGTCACATATATCCAATATTGTTACCTAAAGTGACTTTCGTTTCTATTGTGACCATTTTCTTTCTTCTGAATTTCTGGCTTTGAGAATTTCAGTGCATATATTCTGTTTCATGCAGTGGTATTATTTGCATTAATTTTTCCTTTCCTTCAGGATTTTTCAAGTATCAGTGCTTGTTCTAACAAAATTTGTAATCAAACCCATGAATTAGCTGATTGTTTGCTCTCCTAAGGAGAAGAAAATTGAATCAAGTCATTCAGTGGCTTAGAAGAGGACTGTTTTTACCATTTTAAATACACATGCAAAATTATTTGGTGCAGTTACGGCTACATGGAATTAATTGTGATTGTCTAATCTGCTGTTGTGAAGTCCGTAGAGATGGTATATGGACTGTGGATGTAATCCTTGTTTTGCCTCTTGCTTATATGACTTGGTCTGGCCATGCTTGAATTGAACAGCCGCTGTTCAGCCCTGAATTTGGTTCTGAGCCAAAAGTGCATTAATTCCAAAATTCCCTTTGAATGTTGGGTGGTACCACGGTCAGAGGCCATTCTCCTAAGTGCTGCAGCAGCCAGCTTTGGAGGAACTGCACTGTACATGTGCTGCTGATTGGACAGAGGCTCGAAGTGTAACATCACTGCTCGTGGTTTAGTGATGGGAATTAAATGTTCTGTGCAAAGGTATCTACTTAACATCAGGTCATGGGCTTCCCGAAGGCTCCTGTGTGGACTTACTGTGTCAGATCCTTCTGTGAAAGCTGCCTGGTAGTTCTTAAATCTGACAGCAAAGAGTAGCACCTACCAAATGAGTGTGGCAGGTGCACTTACTGTTTGGGATAGTTGCAGGGGATTTCTGGGAAGAGTTTAGCAAATATGGGTTGCATTGGAAAGTTTTGTAGAGTAGGGAGGAGAGCCTTTCTTGCAATAAGCCATAAACATGCTTAAACAGCATGAACACGCTGAGGATTATAACCTGTTGTAATACCTCCTGTGTGGAAGCTGCAGCATACAGGAATTCTGTCAGGAAGAAAATGAGTAGAGACAGCAAGCTGTAATAGCAAAATTGCTTGAGTACTTGGGCTTTATGTTCTGATTTGGACTTGCTGACTTATCATTGCAAAGTGAGCCTCAAAAATATGAGCAACATGTATACTGATACACCATTATCTCCCTGGATTTTCAAGAACTATTAAAATGTATGAATCATCTCATTTATTTTGCACAGGACCCAAGGGATTTTTAACTCTGTTTGCATAAATAGTTACTGTTCCAGAATGGTTCCAGTGTTTGTTATGGAAAGTACCATTTGTATAAATTACGAAACTACTATTTTGCTGTAATCAGACTCCTGCCTCTCTGGCCTGCTAGAACCTGCCTGCAGATCAAATTTTATTCTGTGACTTTTCTGTGTAGGGTAGAGTTGGTTGGGTTATAAAACATGCTACTTGTACTGCTCCATGGAACTCGGCAGCCAGCAAACAGGAAGGCAGAGCTGGATTTCAGTTTGGCAGTGTGAACTGTGCTACCTGGAAACCAGCGCAGCAGCCGAAGAGGGAGACTTCTCAAGGAGGCTGCAAGTGCTATTTTCTTTCAGCTTCTCTGCTCACTAATTTCTTTCCCATGCCTCTACCTACCTTCTGGGAAATAGGGAGAGAGGTTCTTTACCAGGATCCTTAGGCCATACAACAAAAAGCTTAACAGAAATACCCTTTTACCAGCAACTGTATTCAACAGTGATCCATATGTATTTGTGTACATTTTTAAGCATGACAGAAAGGTCTGAAGTTCTGTGTTGAAAGTTAATTCATTCTCCAGGAACAGACTCAAAAGTATTTCTTACAGAGGTCAGCCACATCGTGGTGTGTAGCACTGTGGGCCCATGCCTGTCTGTTCCCGTAGGCTCTTAGGGGAGAGGTTAATGACCTAAAGAAGGAAAACAGCAAAAAATGTTTCATTGATAGGGACTGTTGTGTGGAAGGAGTGTATACTTCCCCACAAAGTTTTGAGAATGGTTTTGCAGTTGAGCAGAAGTTTATTGCAGGCTGAGATGAGCGGAAACCTGTTTGCTAGTACTGTTCCTGGCTTAACCTGGTACCGCTGACAGCTCAAGAGGGGCCTGGGAAGATGTTTTCTGAGCGCAAGGTGGGCTGCATAGGGAAGAGGGAGGAAGGATGGGCTGAAATAAAGTTACCCAGTTGCTGTTATCTTCAGCCTGTGACTGAGCTGCACGACTCATTCCTCCCTCGGGGGACACAGGTGCGCAGAGCTCTTTTTCTTTAATCACTCACATAAATTAAATTTATTCCTTTGCATTAAAATAATTAAATAAAGCTACGCCCTGTATCTTTTAGTGCCAGATAATATCTTTGAACCTTTGGCTCACCATTTTGCTATCAGCTGCAAGGTATTTTCCAGGGTGTGCTTAACCAATTTTACCATTGTCCTGAAAAGTGTTGTAGGCAGAGAAATCCCCTGATAGCAATCAATGTTCATACGTACTTTTAATCACTGTATCCACTGGGAATAATGATTTCCGGGCCTCTCTTGAAGTCCACCTGCCCCACACTAAGATGAAAGGGACTTCCATGCTGTGGATCAAGTGGCACAGGCTTGATGTTTACCAGGATATTAGGCACAAATTAAAATGGTTTTGAAGAATATTGATGTGGGTCTGAGGCTGGCCAGTTGCTGGTGAGGGGATGATGCTGCCAAGTCTGGAGCAGATTGGCAAGGAGCAAGAACAGCCTTTGCCTTTCCTATATCCCCTAAGGGGTTTCTCCTGCTCTTCTTACGACACGACACTACTTGCAAAGGTGCAGCAGCATACGTGTTTAGGATGGAGGTGTGTGCTTTGGGAACAGGGTTTGTGTGCTTTCCAGGTTAGGAATGATTTTCCTGGGTTCGTCGTGGCTTGTCTTCTGATTGTTGAACTTGTAGATTTGGAAAGCCTACTGCTTGGTAGCTGGCGCATCACCCCAGACTTGGCTCTTTGTTGCTGCAACTTGGTTTCTAGCCAAAAACATCAAAGGGGCTCAGCGGCAAATCTCTGCTGCTTCCTCCCTGGCAGATGCTTGATTTGTATGGAGTCTGCCGCCTGTAGAAGCAGCAAAATGGTTTGTGTTGTACCAAACTATCTTTACTTGGAAGTCTTATAAGAATGGCATTCTGTGGTTGGGTACTGGCAGATCCACCACTTCTGAAATGTCCTTATGTTTGGTTTAGGCAGTTATTTGCGACTGACTGTTGAGCAATATAAATCTCTCTTGGCATTGAGACCTGTTCCCCACCTGCCACTCCAAGAACATTCACTGATGCTTCTGTGGAAACAGATGTACTTTTATTTGCACCCTTAGGAAAAAAGCGTTACAGAACAGTCTTCGAGCTACTTGGCTTTGGTAAAGAGGGAAGGGCAGGGAACGCCTAAAGCTCTGCAGCAGCCCCACAGATATGGCATTGGCCATCTGTCTATGAACGATGGCTGTGACTCAGAAGAGAGATCAGGAACTCCTCTTGAGTAAGCATTTCCCAATGAGGCAGTCTCACAACTCCTTCTCCCCTTCCTTCACTTCAAGAATCTCAGGGGATTTTAGAAAAGGGTCAGCACCGTTAACAACTAACTCTGTGTAGCCAGGAAAGAAAGCAGCATTTAGGTCAGGAATCTTACTGTCTGTATGTGTGAGAATGAAACCTCTGCCCTCCAGCTGAGGGAGTAAATGGTTGTTGGCTTCGTGTCTGAGGCACACAACTGGGTTGGTCGGGCTCTGGGCTTTGCAGGTCCCTTGTATTCTAATTTCTGTCTCTTACTGTCTTTTATTTGCAGCTCAAAGACATGTCCTCACGTACATGGAGGATGCGGTGAGCCAGCTGCTGGAGAACAGAGAAGATATTAGTCAGTATGGCATTGCCAGGTTCTTCACTGAATAGTAAGTACATCAGGAGGCTGCCAACAGGGCAGCCCGAGGGGGGCTTTTGGAAACAGGCAGGGTACATGGAGAATGGAGCTGGGCACATGCTGATTGTGTTGTGAATGCTGGATTTCAGCGGGTGAGCCAAGGGCTACCTAAGCATGTTTCGGAAACGTGCATGGGTTTCGTACAGGTCGGTACCTCCCCTATACAAACTCTCATGTGAAGCAGTCACTTTGGGGAACAGAACTTTTGAAAGCACACATAAAACCAGATTCAGCTTGTCTTAATCAGGGCTGTTAGCATCAAAAGCAGAGACTGCTTCTGGTTTCAGCAGCACTTGTTCTTCCTTTTTCTGAGTATGAATTTGAACTGTTTTGTCTCCTCGTGTGATTGTTGTCCTGTTGAATGTTTTAATAGAATTCCTCTTCCTCCCTTATAACCTGCATACGTCCTTAAATAGTGAACATAATAATTAGATAATCTCTTCCTACTAATTTGGAAAGATTTTTTAGGGGAAAAACTGTGTGCTGGTCTTCAGTGTTGTTGATATTGACTCAGCCAATTGCTGTGTGTTTTGCCAACTTGATCATGTCTTGCACAATGTCTAAAACCCTTCCAGGAAGCTTCATTAAAGATCTGTTGGTAAAGCGTCTACTTGCAGTGGTTACAGGTTTCTGCCTTTTGATGCCCATGTGGGAATCCTTCCTTGCTTGCTTCCTTTCCTGTTGCTTTTTTCTGAGGCAAATCAACGTGAAGAGCATTTTACAGCAGTCTGTGCGCTACAGCAGTGGAGGAGGATCTCAAAGCGTAGGAGCGGCCTTCTTTCCCAGTTGACCACAGCTTGAGGTTTTGTTTGTGGGTTATTGTTGTTGGTGTTGGTGGTTTTTTGTTGTTTTTTTTTTCCTGTACATCAGTGTCCATCTAATCTCCAAATGAGGTCTAACTTGCTAATTTGACTGACTGGACAAGTTGCATTGTATTTTCTTGCCCCATGCACATTTTGAATTTTTAAACAGCTGATATTCTCGCTGGTAAATGAGTACCTGAGATAAATACTGCAGCAAGTCTGAGGGAAATTCTCAAACTTTTTTTTTTTTTTTTTTGAGATAGGATAGCAAGCAGCAGTTCAGGACTAGTGTGGTTTTGACCATCTTGGCAGAGGAGGTAAGATACGGCCATCTTGCTGCATCTGTTTATATAACAGATCTGTTGGGTAGATGGCATTGTTACAAGAAAATATGGTTTCCTGGTGGTACCTTATCTCTTTTGCTCTCAACAAAGTACTTCCAACTTTCACTTGGCGTGAATCATCCATGGTGCAAAATCTGGAAGGCCCATGCGAAACAGTAAAAAGGAGATTTTACTAGAAGAATCAAACAGCTTATCAAGGCTGCTTAGTTTTCCTGTTAACCTTTCTCTGTAGCTTAGTGTAACTAGTATGAGTACTGACTTTAAAAGACCTCAGAAATCTGTTTTGGAAGCAAATAATACTTGGTACAACATGGATTTTATAAGGCGATTGGTATTTGTTGTTGTTGTTCATGAAGTAGCTTAAGCTCTCAAAATGCACTCCCTCTTTGTAGACCACCAAAGTTAAAAAATGAACAGTATTGGGAATGAGACTCTTTACAACCCAATGAACAGGATACTTCCACATTCTGAGCAAGTTGCAGTGGTCACTGTTAAGGGAGGGTTGTGGAGAATTCATCACTGAGAGTAGGTATTGGGGACAAACAAAGGTACAACCTGTGCACTTGATATGACTGGGAATCGTGATACTCTGTCTGATGTAGGTGAGTCTCCTCAGAAAGTAACACTGAGACTGGTCAGCTGAACAGACAGTGAACAGGAGCTTGAGGAAGATGAAGAGCATGGCTACAGTGACCTCCACCCGCCAGCAGGATTTCTTTACCAGAGTTGAAGGCAAGGTGGCTCTGAACTACCCAGCTGAGATGGTTATCCAGGCATCCCTGCAGATCAGTTCTGGTTTGCGCCTGCTTTTAAGCTGACACCTCAGGGCCTTTTCTAAACTTGTGATCATACATACTCAAAAAATTAAATGGTGAGCAAAAGGTCTTCCACGGTTTTTGAAACTCCTCCCGTTGCTTCTCTATAGTATTTCTTGATCACAACATCTTCCTTTCACTTCCTATTCCTCTTCTACCTCTGACAGAATAAATAGTAATTCAAGATCGTTATAACAAACAAAACTGTCACCATGGAGCACAACCCTCTGATTTACCTAGGTGCTGGAGATAATGTTTTTCACATTTATTTTTGAAATAAGATGTGAATTTCTGCAATGAGTTTTTGTTCACACTGAGTGTTCTGTGGAGCTTCTGGTTTCTCAAAGACAGGAAAAGGTTTCATGTTAGTTTTTTCTGTGAGTGATATAGAACTAGTCATTCTCTTTTTTTTCTTTCCTTTCTGATTTTTGTTTTTTAATACTATGTCTGGAGTTTAACAGATCAAACTGTGTCCCTGTACCAAAGCACAAACAGACTTAGTAATTTTGAGAGCTGTGAGGTTCTTAAGATTTGAAGTGTGGGTTTCTTTATTTAAAGTGGAGAATAAATGATCAGCACTATGGGTGTAGGTAGACTCAGAATACAAGGTTTCCTGTTATGAAATGATCATATGTTCTGGCTCCCAGGGCTTGGTGGTGAGCCCTTGCTGCCCAATAGATTTCTGTTCATCCATGCAGCTGTCAACATTTGTTCAGGCTGTGCTTTGAAGGCTACACTGCTTTTGTATTGCTCTACTAAGCAAATAGCTTGATCTTGATTTTAATCTTTGATATCAGTATCTTTGAAGTCAAAGATAACTTGTGAGATTCCAGAAGGTTTGTGTTTTCCTTGTTCCAGGTTATTTTAAGGGAGAGGATTGGCGTGTGTATTTTGAGGTATGCTGCAATGGTTTGCAATGAAGGGACTTGGTATTAGGGTGTTGTGTTTTTCACATTGTGCTTTTCAAATTTATTTTCACTCAAAATTAGGGAACAAGCCCAGGGTTTAGAAAGCTAGCAGGTAGGCCCAAGCAAGTGAGTGTTTATGGATTTTTTAAGTGTGTATGGGTTACAAAGACAACTTCTGTAACTTTTCATAAATAATGAAGTTAGTGTATGAAGGACAGGTGTTAGATATTCTCCAAACTCTTCTCAGGGGGCACACTTCTCAATAGAGTGGTGTTCCATGGACCTCTCTTGCAGGATTTACCATTGAAGAGCAATCATGGCCTTTCCGTCATGCATTGCAATGCCCCACTTCACCATGAGTCACTTCAAATCTGTGTAGCAGTTAGAACAACTATTTTTATGGATAATTAAGAAAATTTAGTTGGGTTTTAGCTTACATGGATGAAATTTCAGAGCTGAAAACTATGTAGTCATGTAGCTCTGTATGGATCAAGCAGTAAGTGTTTGGCAGGCAATGAGTGTTTCTAGTTGCTTCTAGAAAATGAAACTGTGTATGTATTCCACTGCTATCCACAGCCTGGCACCAGGATTGCTGATTGCAGAGGGCTGACCTTCATCTCTATAGTTCTCCTTCCAGAATAGTTTTAGTCTTCAAGGATATTTTTTTCTTCCACTTTATTCCATTCTTAATTTGTCCCAATCATGTGCTCATCTGCTTTCAGTCTTGGGAGTATCTTGAGGCTACCCTCATCTGACTTACTCCTGACTCTTATCAATCACCCTTCTGCCAATTAATCCACATCTTTTAGCTAAATGAATAAAATTATGCCTCTGTTAGGACTAGTCCTGAATTTATAGATGTGCTGAAATGCTACTGGTATTTGTTCATTATAAACCCAAGAAACCTCTGCTCTGCTTTTGAACCTCTGTGAAGTGCAGACTCTTGAAAGCCCTCTGTGTAATTACACACTAATGCTGCCTAACTTCTGTGCCAACATATCTTAAAGGGACATGTTCCTCCTGTGCATTATCATCCTATTTTCTTGATCTTTCCCGTACTGAAGAAAAACAGGGCCCCCATGCTAATGCATTTGGTCACGGAGAGGGAATGTGCATAGCATCCCACTTTATATTTTCTGGGATCTTAAAGGGAGCCTTTGTGGCTTTTTTTCACTTCAGCTGGAAGAAGCAGCACAAAAAATTTTTGACCAATAGACTTCCAACTAGAATTGTTTTATTTTCTTCTGGGCCACCCATTTGCTTGAAACTTTCTCTTCCAGCTTGCAAGTAAATGTGCTACTCTGTTGCAGACTCTCTGGAAAGCTCAGAGGTATTAATCAGTGATAATTTACCACATACAGAAAACTTTTCTTCCTATCATTTTTATAGTTTGATAAACCAAACACAAGTGAACTGGAGACACAGGAAAAGGCAATTTTTGTCTATGTTCTTCTCCAAAAACACTTCTTGTTTTGTTTTCTTTCTGGTGAAATGTCTCCCTAACTACCTGCCAGCTGGAGCATGATTGAGAAAAACATCTTGCTTTTACCTTCCAGATGCAGCATTACTTCCATTGGGCTCTGCAAACTGATGCCTGAGATCCCCTTTTTCTGTGAAGGATGCTTCTGCTGGCTCTAACTTGAAGTGCCCCTGCTGGATCTTATGTGACAGTTTGATAATATTTATCTGAGAAGCTGTCTGTGCTGTTTGTGTTTGGGGGGATTGGGGGCTGGATGCTGCTTTTAGATCTGCTGTGTGCCTGGCCATTCAAAATACCAGGTCTGTGCTGTGTAGAGCCCTGTTTCACACAAAGGAACGTTTGCTTTGTTTGGAGTAACAGAACTGTCAGTGCTATATAGTTTGAGATCCTTGGATAGGAAGATGTTATCGTGGTGAGAAGTATCAACTTCTAGCAATGAAAGTACCTCATTTTTTCTTTCTGTCTGAATTGGCTGGAACAATTTGTTCAATTCATTCCTTAGGGACAAATATGATACTGCTCTCTTGGCTGTCTTTGGCAATAGCAGTGATACAGGCTTTGGTATCAGAAAAAACTTTTGGCTTGTTCAGTCCTGTACTGCTATACTACACTACCTAGATA